AATAAGTAAACGACAGCATCAATGGCAAGATTTCGAAATTAATGAAATTCTTGTTGATCACTAGTGCCACTAAGTTGATACATAATTGTATCATTGAGCTAACAACACCAAAAATGAGTGAATTCCTCCCAAAAAAACATCTTCTTTTGCCTCCCAGGGTAGTAAAACCAACCAAGATATAAGATAGCCCTTCTTTTGCCACACCACTTTGATAGAGTTAATTATAAGAAAGAGAATGTTGGAAAGCTTGATTATATTGATGATTATACAAGAGTATTTATAGTACATAAGTAAACATTAGACTATGACTAGATATATTAGAGTATATGTCTAGGTACATTAGACAATAGTTAGGTAAATCTTTGACAATCAACCTAATTGTGTAAATCACGGAGTAAATCAAGGGATGATGACATTGCAAATATCATTATCCTTCGCAAGACGGACGTCCGGAACGAGAGACCGATCTTGGATATAATAACGCAAATCGATCTTGATCAATGTACGAATTGAAGTGTAGTTGGTGAGAAGGGTTGCATTGTATTGTCATTCTCCGAGATGGTTTGGAGAGAGTTTAGGTTTTTTTTTTTTCTCCCCAAATGTATAGAGAATAAGGAGTTGCTTAATGGGTGTAACAACACTTAACTTTAAGTAAATACAAGCAAAGACAAGATGTAACAACACTTAACTTTAAGTAAATAGGTGTGCTTATTTTCCCAATTGCATTCTCTTGAGTAAATATAGCTTGGTTTAATTCAATCCCAACATTTAGAACAATTAAAATCCACTTGAATAAAACCCACTTACCTTGATAATTAGAGTGTGTTTCTTTAACAAATGGTTCACAAAAACCCTCATTTGAATCATACTCAATCTCATCATATCCCCACACTTCATTTTTCCATACTTCACCGCGTAGATCATCATCCTCATCATTTTCCCATACTTCATCGCGTAGATCACTATATTTATCCTCTTCACTTCCCCATACTTCATCATAGTATGCTTCCATCATTGGGTGTTTCAAAATAAGATTGTTTAGTTTGTTGTATAATGAAAAATGAACATCTACTTGATTGCTACTTATACTTGCCAAATTGAAAAAAAGCTCAAAGTTTTATCATAAATATTTGAAAATTAAATGCAAGGTAATAGCAAGGAAGTTGCTTCATTAATTTAGCCTTTGGCTTTTGATAACAAAGCTCTCTCTTTTGTAAATTAGAGTTGGTAACTTTAGTTTATAAAGGAGTTTCACAAATTCTTGTTATTGTACGATCAAGCCAATCACTATGAACTTTCGTGTGTATTATTACTGTTGCACGAAGTTTGTTGTGTAAATTATGGTATGTGATTATGTGAATGATATGTGATTAGCTTTTTCATTAAATCGAAAAAAGTAAAGAATTTCCGCATTCAATTTCATGTAATCTCTTGTACTCTTACAAATTATAAAGAAACAATTCTTGTGATTTAGGCTTGGCATAATGGCATTGGCCCCGGCTATCCTAGTTGCCATTGGTACGTATGAGCGCAACTGGACATGTTTTGGGGTTATCTAGCTCGGCCCACGATATATGTGGTTGTGTTGTGCCAAAGTTTTTAAAAGGTCAATCCATCCACAGCCCAAACCCATGTGCCATCGCTATTGTGCATTTGTGCTTGCGGCCCAAGCCAAATTTACTAATTTTAGTGTTCGTTGTCGTGTTGTATTGTGCCTTGTCGTACTTCTCCTAAATAAAGGTGGCTCAAGAACAATTTACAACAATACGTGTCGTCGTGTTTTTCATGTTGGACCTTGCAATGTCTCGGGTTAGCCCGACCTAGTGCTATCTTTAAGCACAGCCTAATATATCACAGATAAGAGTTGTTATTGTAAATTGGGGGATTGTGGTTATCGGAGTGGTAGCGTGATAGTCATAAATTTAATTGTGTGTCATGCCAAACCCAAGCCCAAATCACAAGTAGCCTTACAAGAGGACGGCACAATAAGCCTAGGTGTGTGTTTTTTTTACGAAAATATACTTTTAATTATGGACATAATACTTTGGTAAAATGTGACTTTTTTTTTTTTTTTAACAAGAAATGAGACATTTATTTAAGAACTAAGGTGGCTAATGCGCGTCATATTTAGCTATGTCCGAAGGTTCTTTTGGTTTGGCATTATATTATAACTTTAGTTGTTAGTAACGCTAATTAGGTAAAATATGTAAACGATTTTTTTTTTTTTTTGGTATAAATGTGAACACACTAATCTTAAAAGTTAAACAAAAAAAGAAGAAAAAAAAAACAATTAACATTAATGAGGGCAAATATGTAAATAAACATTTTAGGGACATAATAGTCTCAATACTATTTATAAGAGTTTACTCATACTTTTAAAAAGGTAGGGATAGAGGTCATGTAATACTTTGTACAATCTATATTTCAAGAGTCGGTATTATTATACTTTTGTTTTTGAATCATATTGAGATCAAAATTATTGTGTATACTCTGAAATAAACTAATCTTACTAAATCAAGTAAAATATCATGAATTTATTTCATTCTTTCTATTATTGCACCCATGAATTAAGGTTGTTATAGAAAACAACGCGTCTGGGGGATTTATAAAAGCTTGGAAGATATCAAATGCGAATTTACACTTTTAGAAGTATTTTACATGTATTTGAATTACCCTTTGTTTTAATTTTTTTTTTTTTTAAAGCAATAATTGTCAAATTAGTTTGTCATGTCACATAAGCTTTTAAGCTAATTGTCATTTTAGCTAATTTGAGCTCCAGTGGCTAGCTATTAGCTTACTATTTAAATGGACCACACCTCCTTAATTTACGTTTTTAAATTTCATTTTATTTATTCTAATTTGTTTTATTTTAGTAAGTTTATTTCAAGCAAATTAGCTTGGATTGCATGTTCTAAGCTAGCTCCAATGGTCAAGCTAGTAGCTAGGGATTATTAAATATTTCAAGCAAGTCCCTAGCTACAACCATTGGAGTTGCTCTAAGGGGTTTTTTTTTTGGTACAATGCTTAAAGGGGTTGTGAATTTACTTTGCATAGTCAAAGGTTAAATTTTCATGAATATGAATGAAATATGGAAAATAATAATCATCAAAACAAACTAAATCAATGTGGATTGATTTCTGATTAGTGTATCGTTATTGACTTTGCCAGTAAATAATATCAATAATATTGTACCCTCAATTTATATCCTTCAAACCATATGTCTACATGACTATATCCCATGTATTTGTTAAATGGTCCAAATAAGATATCTCCATGGGAGAAATTAAATCTGTTATTTGCCTCGCATTGATATGATTTGTTTCTAAAAATTGTTAAATTTACAATCACAAATTGTTGCGTAAATATTTAATTTTTCCAAATCGATTAAATAAAATTAACAAATAATGCGTATATGGATTCTATAGGAGAAAGATCATCAACAATTTATTACTAATTTTGGCATGTAAAACGCCAATAATTATATGTTCAATTCAGATATGTGTCAATATTATCTTGATATAGTGAAATCAACTAGGAGCACATTTGATATAGACATAGCTTTAAAATGATATTGTACTTTCAATATATATATATTTAGCATTATCTATTAACTATTACTAAAATAAAACGTTGCTGCCATCATCACTATCCATATGTCACTCTCATAATAAATTTTTTCCCCCCTAAATGCAAGGATGATGTCATTTTTTTTTTTTGTGTGTGTGGAGTTACCATATTTAACAATTTTGAAATTTGAATATTAGAACCTTCTACATTACAATTTCAGCCTACCAATTTATCCTAAAAAAATGAAATAGTTGTAAATAGCACACTAATAAATGGACTCTTACATTGAAATTTGAAATATGTATTAGGCGATGTTGGACATGTATTATATCATAATTTTGATGAAAATATAATATTTTAAAATTACAAATATTTTTGTACAAAGTGCATAATTCTTATTTATATTTATCCATTTTTTAAAAAAAATGTATAAAATTATAAAAATAGATTTTATATAAACTATGCATCGCACGGGTTCTAACCTAATAACACAACTATTTGGTGTAAATAACATCACACCCGACTAATTAATCTGAAGTGGTTTTTTTATTAATTGGAACCAAGACTAAAATTAGTTGATCCAAATTTGAATAGCATGATTTTATTCTAATCAATTTGCCACGAAGTTATTGATTCAAGAAGTTGCATACTTCAAATTTGGTGTTATAATGTGACTACTTAATGTTAACAGATTTCACACTTGATTACCGAATCTAAAATAGTTTTTTTTTTTTTTAATATCCAATCTGATTTAGTTGACTCAAACTTGAGTTGGACGAATTTATTGCAAAATGATCCGCCATAAAGCTAACTTAACCTTTAATTTCATACTTCAATATTTATCGCTATAACGCCACTATTAGTTATAACAAAATCACACCTGATCACACACCATATCTAATTTAGTTTTCTTTATTTCAATTATAAACGTATCTGAATGAATTGACCCAAACTGAAATCAGCCCAATACAACTGGCTAGTCACTAAACACACGTTTATATGACGTATATGAATATAGTATGTCCAAATATGACTCAAACCAACCAACCCCCCACCAAATCAAGTGAATTATATTCATTCAAATACATAATCCAAACAACCCATTTGTCACCTCTTAACTAGTGCGAACATGAGTATCTGCCATGCATAAATTTTTAACAGCTAGCCATGTATCAAAGAAGATTTCATCCAAAAGATCAAACAGATTTCATCAAAAATCATAAACGGAGTGATTGTGTATATATAGTACTAGTCACACTAGTCAGTCAGTCAATTACTTCATTTTCAACTCCATCCCAAGAATCAAGTAACGACAGTTTTTCTCTTAAACCCCTGAAAATTTTCTTTCTTCTTCACAAAATCACAAATACAAGAATTTACTCTTCTAAAACCCCAGAAAAATTCAACATTAAAAATACCCAGAGAAAAGAAAAATGGATATTATATTTGAGACACAAAAAGGAGAGTCATTTGTGATAGAAATAGGGTATTTTGATTCAGTTTTAGAGATCAAAGAAAAGGTTGAAAAATACAGAAAAATACCCATTTCAAAACAAACCCTTGTTTTTAATGGCAAAATTCTTGAAGATTCTGGTAATGTTGAATCTTGCGTTATTCTTCATAATTCTCGAATGCGCTTAATTGTTGCACCCAATGAAGAAAAACCAAAATCCCCTGAAAAACTCAAATTAAAACAAGAAGATGATCATCAATTCTTTCATTCTTTTTCTCCTCCAATGATTAATAATAATAATCATCATAATGCTTCCAAGAAAACCAAGATTGTTCTTAGATTGCCGGCGTCGCGACCGTCTAATATCTATCAGAAACTTGTTATTGATGTGGACTTGAATGATTCTGTTGAGCAGCTCAAGAAGAAAGTTCACCAGATTGAAGGTTAAATTTATTTTCTTGTTAATCAATTATTTGGGTTTTAATGTGTTTTTGTTGTTGTTAAATTAGTATAATCATGATTTTATGGGAATGATTATGCATGGATTTCTATTTATTTTTGGTCGACAGTACGACTTAAGAGGTCGTTCATAATTATATGCCAAGAATTATAAACATAGGTTTATTAATATATCCCGCGCATTAATACAGCAATATCTTTAGTATGATATAATTTGTTACATTCTAGGAGAGAAAAAGTCCTTATGATCTCATTTCTATAAATAACTAGTATGTTGCTGTCACTTTGTGTTATTTTTTTCTTTTCATTAATTATATCTGAGTTATTTGATATGACAAATAATAGATAATCTCTCAAATGGACTTGACACTGCTAATCTTTCGATGCCACAGTTTTTTAAGCTCTTTTGTTAAAATGTATGTTTCTTACAGGTTACTCTGTACACCAGCAAGCACTGTACCTAAATAAGAGTATTGAGCTGCAGGATCAAAGACATTTGCGTGAATATGAGCTCAAAGATGGGTGTGAGATCGAAGTTTTTATCAAGCCGATCTTAACTCCTAAGCATTCTGGCAGGGCAAACACAAAGTCGGCAACTAATGCCAAGAAGCTGAAAGTTATTGTGCTAGCTAAGTGTGGAACTAAGAAACTGGTCGTTGAAGTTAATCCCTTGGATAAAGTTCAGGTAAATTTTAGAGACAAACTTTTATGAACAAAATTACTGTGAGTTCTGAAAATCTGATATAATGTTGAAAATGTGCAAAAACAGGTGCTAAGAAATGAACTGGACGAGCGTCATCAGGGTGCAGACTTTCAGCTTCCATCAGAAGGGTACTTCTTCATCTACAAGCAGAATGTAATGGAGGAAAAGGAGACTTTCCAGTGGCACAATGTTCGACAGGGTGATACTATTGAGATCTTCAATGGCAGCGTTTCAGGTGGATCGTGAAAATCCTGCTATCACAAGTAATTCAAGTCGATCTTCTATGGCAAAAAATTTCATGTTCTTTTAGTTGTTGCACAGTCAATGAGGCTCAGATGGGTGCATGCTCTTGTTAGTTCTGGGTCTGGTTTAGATTAGTCAAGTTCTAGTTTCTTCTTAAATAGGTCTAACTTTACATATGGTAAAGTAAGCAGTTAGAACGCACAGCTTCTCATTGAATAGTTGTTTGGTTCCTGTTAAATAGAATGATACAGCTTTATGTAAATTCGACTAATTAGACCATCAAATTTCTGGAAAAAATCCCAATCCATATAAAACTTCTGAGCAATCTATCAGATATCCAGATTGTTTCAAAAGGCTTAATGAAATGATATGAAACTCGAGCAATGAAGCAAAATGAGGTCCATTATAGTCTTTACAGATACATCAAACTGAACTGAAAAAGAATATTAGATGTATCCATGCATAAGAATATTGCTTATGTTTATAATGCTACAGAAAATATTGTCAACCCTCAATAAATCAGCCATCAAGTAGTATTGAAATTAAACACAGTTTACTGAACGGAACATAAATCTTTTAATTTCTGGAGAAATCTAAGCTCGGATGTACATGGCATGCTAAAAAGTGTGTACCAAATCAACAAACGCATCATAAAGGCAAGAAGGCAAATAACCCTGTATACACAGCCTCCTCTGCAGTCTGCCCACACTAATTACAATGAATCAGCCACTTCTACAATGAATACACTTTAAGCCCGCACCACCACCCAGAAATTAATACTACCTATCTAGGATTTGTATGATTATCTGCTGCCTCAAGTTAGTAAATTTCGTCCAAGAAGAAAAACATGCATCATCTATCAGCTCCACTACCAACTACTCGAATATATTCCCTAGATATGATTTTTACCTTGTCAGTAAAGCACGAAATTTGCACTGAGGAGATGAAGGAGACAACCAGCCGCAGAATTATTTCTTTCCTACACCAACTCAGTTTATAGCACAACTCAACAAGCGATTCAAACATAATCCAACGGCAGGATTCTCTTCATGATGGAAATCAACTATCTGGGTCGACTTTTCTATATCCCTAAATAATCCTCATTTAGCAAAAACAATAATGACCTAAAGCTGCAAAGCAAGGTCTGGTTGTTGAGAATCGACTGACGACTGGAAAGCAACATTCAGATCAGGGGGAAGTGTATCTTGTTTTTGTTTTTGCTGAGTATATGGACTAAGACCACGCCAAGGGGCTTGCACTTGAAATCTTGACAAATCATTTGTAACCAATTGATGAGGAAAAACTGTTGGTCTGCTCGGGGCCTGTGCTTCATTCCCAACTTTAATAGGTTGTGATGCAGATGATTGGAAGGGAAAACCCATCTTTTCTCGCTGTATGTGCATCATATTAGAGACTGGATATTCAGTCTGAGGTTGCATTGCCTGAGGATAGAACATCCGTGTTGCATTGTACGATGAGTCTGCGGAAACCTGACCTCTATTTGTCGCAGAGTTTTGAGCATTTGGTCTGAATCCTGCAGAGCCAACAGACATCCAAGCACTAGCAGCTGCTGCTGCAGCATTGCCTCCAGTGTCTCCTCTGGGTGATGGAACAGACGGTCTAGCTTGTGCAGGACTATGCGCGTGAATCGATCCACTGGACAATGGGACAGATGGCCTACCTTGAGCAGGACTATGAGCGTTAGTCGATCCATTCTGTTGCCTCTGAGCTTTCTCCGTCATCATCTTCATAACTAGGACTGGGTCACTAAGACCCTGGTTCTGTGACTGTTTCTGGGGGAAGGATAGTGGCGGTCCGCCTAACTGTGGTGACATTAAACCTGGAGATGAAGTGACTATTCGATTATTACCTACAAAATTGTTCACTACCTTCCCATTAGAAAAAACATCAGGAGCATCTCCGTTAGTGTCAGGCTGCTTGAAAGGCGGAGATTGCAGAAAAATTTTCCCCTTGGTTAAGGATTCACTTGGCATGGAAGCCGGCATTTCCATTAAATGAGCAGGTTTATGTGGAAAATTATCTGTTTTCTGGATAGATGTGGGCTGAAATTTTGTTTCCACCCTCCTTTGACCTATTTCCATACCATGAGGCAGTTGTTTCTGAGTAAAATGACCTCTTTTCTGATCAGATATGGATGGAGAATTCGGCTCCACTCTCTTTGCGCCCATATTTTCAGGACAAACTGAATCCCTCGGTTGATGGCTCTGCTGCCGGAAAACAACACTATCAGGGTGACTATTTAAAGATGGAGAATTTGATTCAGCATCCTTAAAATTGACATGTTGAAAGCCTCTAGAAAATGGATTATGCTGTTGAGAGACTAAAAGAGTAGATGCAGGTGGTTTAGCCTCTCCAGAACCAACCACGGTTGCCAATTTAGAGGCAGATGCTTTAGCTTCCCCAGAGCCAAACATGGAGGCCGATTTTCCATTTGAACTGGGTTGCTTAACCAACACGTGGGCTTGACTTCGGCCATCCAAAAGTTTGTCAGCCTTTATAGAATCAATAGCATCTGACCTTGAAACAATGGGGACCTTTTTGTCATCCTTTCTTAAATCCACAGCATTGTGTAACCTTGAAGCAAAGGGATCTATTTTGTTATCCTTTTTTGATTCAAAAGCATTATGTAACCTTGAAGCAAAGGGGTCTTTTCGATGTTCAACAACTAGCACCGCTCTAGGAAGTGGCTCATATTCTCCAATCCATCCACGACCATGTTTGTGGCCAGGAGGTAGAGCCTGCTCAATCCTCTTAGAGGCAATTGTCCAAGCCTTAGGCCCAAGATTTGCAGCATATCGAGCCAGACTACGGGCATAGGAAAATTCTCCAGACAAACCAACCTGATCCATGGTGGAAATATTATTTAAAGAAAAGATGTTGATAGAACTAGTAAAAAGATCGCTATAAAGATTACATACAGGAATTAGCTGCTTCTTGTCGTCCTCAAATGTTGTAAATATTGACTCGGGCCTGTCTTCAGGCTGATTTGATATATTATATGTTGCACGGCGATTCTCATCTACGACAAATGATCTCCTTCCAAATTTTGGCAGTACACCCTTCCCTGGGGGAGGGAAGATAAAGAGTATAAGCAAAGAAGATATACGATCAGATTTCTACTCCTTCCATAGACCAACAATAGAGCTTAGAATCTGAAAGAGAACCATATCTATATCTAATACATACCTGATTGTGTATCTTCGGTTTTCTCTATATTATTATCTGCAAGGGTAGAGATGCCCTCTACAGGCCCATCGGTATTGCTAGGCCTCTCAAAGTTACTCACATGATCAACGCCACACATATTAGGGGCATCCATTGTCGCAAGGATGGCACCAGATGAAAAATCAGATCCTACAGGTTCCTGCGCGCCTCTGTAGAGCAGCTTCTTTGTTTGTTTTTTAATTTGTGAGTATGATCTCTCTTTCTGTTCAGACTTTGGCTCAAGCTTTGTTTCAGATTTTGGTTCGGATTTCGGCTCTTTCTCTAATCGCTCAATCTGCATCCTGATCCGCTGGAATTTCTTTTCAGCAAGTTCTTTGATTGCACGAGCCTTTCAAAAATGCACATGTACTGCAATTAATACTATAGGAGGATTTATAAAAACAATAAAAGCAAATACAAATAAAATGCTCAACTAATACCTGTTTATGGTAAACAGTCTCAGGTGCATTATACTGCATTGCATTGGAACTAATAAGGAAAACATCACTCTGCACAAAAGAACGCCATTATTAGCATGGAGTACCACTTAGGGAGTACTGAGTACTTGGAGTGTTGAGATGAAAGGATGCACCAAGTCCTCAGCAACTATGCAGAATGAGTTGTAGACACAATATGGTTGACGCAATGATTGTCTATTCATTAGCCGGGGGCTAGAATAGAGTGGTGACTGGTGAGTGACAAGAATTACACAGGCCTAGCAAACATTACAGTACATGCTATGACTTATAGTAGATGTATACTCGTATGAATGTGAGATGTCTGAGGCAGATTATGAAAGTGTGAGCTCAATCCTTCTCAAGTCAGCATTCTAGAATTGTGGATTAGATTTGGATATAGGGGGTGTTTGGTTTACAAAGTGGTATGGGTTTGGAATCAGAAATGAAACTAGGGTGGTATGGAGTTGTAACTTGCTTCTTAATACCTTGTGTTTGGTTGTTGTCCAAGATCGGTTTTTTTTTTTTTTTATAATTGTGGTATGAGCCATACTCCTCCCCCCCCCCCCCTTTGGTTTCTAAACCCCATACTTTGTGGGTTTGAGGTATGGGTTTATAAATTAGATTTTTCTTAAACAAACATTAGGTATGGGTTTTACTCATTCCAACCCCATACCTCATACCTAAAAGGCTATAACCTATGAACCTAACGTCATCTAAATCATTGGAATGTTGGACTTTTAGAATATATTTGGACTTGATGTGCAGGAGTCCAAAGTCTGATTTTAGAAAACGCATAACATTATTGCTAAGAACATGGTACATTAAAAAAATAGCATTATATTGCCCTTGGAACAAAATTATTGTAATCAAGTATGAAGGAAAATGTTTTGTTTTGAGTTAAAGACAACTCCTCTTTCACTCGCTCCAACCCATCACTTTATTCCATTTTTTCCATTCCATAATTCATTTTATAACCATTGTTAATCCCCACACCAAACTGCAAGCCCCAAATGTGAAGAAATTTATTTAAACGAAAGGAAGTAGCACTCTTTGAGTCTTTTCCATACAGCCATAGACGTTAATGCAATGACAAGTATTTCTCTATGCCATAGGAATTTATATATTAACCTTCAATTGTTCATTATTTGGCCAAAATAAAAATAACAAATGGACCCAAAATTTTGGATAATATTGGACCGTAGAATTGGGCTTACTCAAAACTTCAAATCTAATTTATTGAAAGCTAGATTCTACTTCAGAAAATCTAACCCCTTCAATGCAACTCACACACCTACATTAAACTGAGTAAACCTCTTTTCAAACACATGCTCTATTATTGCAAGAGCAAGACTGCATACACAACCCCCTTATCCTTCGATGACTGGGAGGCCAAGAGCCTTTTTTTTTTTTTTGGTAAAATGATAAGTGATAAAGCTGATAATACACAGGAGAATAATGGCAAAGCAATTCTTATCAAATCCACAAAGAAGAAATACTCCAAATGTTCAAGATAAATAAGACCCTGAAAAAGTACATCCATACTCATCCTTCTACAAATAACTATAACCATTTCCAAAGTATACTAGTTTGATACCGCATATCATTTCAGACTTTGCTATTACCAATATTATTAATTATATGCCCAGCCTCTAAAACTGACATCAGGGCCTCAGGCTAGCAGTACTCCTGGATGATTGGAACAGGGTTAATTACATATCCTAGATATGTCTAAAGATTTGATGTGGATGATAAATGGAAATAATGAAACACTATTAAGACACTTGGAATACGTTGAATATGTAAATCCTAAGGGTAACCATCATTAAAGAATTTCATTACTCGTTAACTCATATTGGCAGCAAACAGGCAGCAATATGAAAAAATCTTAAAACAATCGAGGTTTTCACAGTAATCTTTAATATATAGACATCCTCATTGATAGGCAGCAATAAGAAAAATCTTACAAAAATCGAGGTTTTTGCAGTAATCTTTATTATATAGACATCCTCATTGATTCCTAACACAACCAATAATTGCCCCCAAGAGTTTGTGAAAATTCAATAAAATTTCCAGAAAATTTCCTCAAGGAGATAAATAACTAAATAAGGATTACCAACCTCAAATTGCTCTAAAGTGGAGTAAGAACCATTTGCAAGCTTCTTCCTCACGGTGGAAAAGTCCATCGGATGTTCAACGACATCGTGATAGTCTGGGAGCTACACCAAAGCATCATTGTATCAAAAATCCAAACTTTTCAACAATGCCAATGTAACAATATCGAATAACGGTAATAGCAATACACAAATTTCATTTCAGGAAAGAAAAATTCAAATTGAAGTTACCTCCTCTGGATCAACTGGTTCAGCATAAACACCATATGTATCTTTTCTGCCACATTAAAACCACCATTTTCACTAAGTAAATAAACTTAGAAATACTTCAACAATTAAATTTAGAGAAAAAGAAATCACATACTTTTGAAGTTTGTCCAATATCAACTCCAATTGCTTTTTATCTGGTAAAGGAGTAATACAATCATCACGATGGTCAATTTTTCCATTGGGTATCCCTGAAAACACGAAAAAATCAAACAAACCCAATTCAAAATTTCTTCAAAATTGCAACATAAACCACATTAATGTAGTAGCTTCCAAACTTGTCAAATAATACAAAAATCTCACCAGAAACATACTCCACTCTTTTTGGCTCCTCCTCCTCCTCTTCCTCCTCCTCCTCCTTCCCATCTCTTCCCTGCCAAAACAAAACCAAACAACATCAATCACACACACAAAAGCCCGAAACCAATCCAAACAACCCGATTGCCACCCAAACACAAACAAGCACACCCAAAAACCCGAAACCAATCCAAACAACCCAATTGCCACCCAAACACAAACAAACACACCCAAAACCAATCCAAACGACCCGATTGCCATCCAAAACACCCAAATTGACCAAAATTAGATTTTCCTACATGAATGTAGAATGTCCATAAGACAATCTAGAGAGAGAAAGAGGATTAAGTAGAGAGAGAAAGAAGGCTATTTTTGTGTTTTAGTGATGACCCAGAATCTCTCTGAGTTTGATGTTTATTTTTTTTGACAGTTGACCCCTCTCTCTTCCTCCCCCAACCGTTAATTCCATCACACTCCTCCGAAGAGGAGAGAGAAAATGAAGAGTGAGATTTTCATCTCTCAATCTCTGGACCAATTAAAACCCCTCTTTCTCTCTCCTCCTCTTTCTCTCTCTACCATATCAGACCTCCGGCCCCATTTTTCCCACCATTTTTCCCAGATCCAAAAAAAAAAAAACAAAAAAAAAATTATTATACCTCATCATCTTCTTCTTCATTTTCAACTTCTTCATCATCTTCTTCTTCAACAACCCTCCTCTTCTTCACTTCCCTTCCTTCATCTTCTTCCTCTTCCGAGTCAACCCCGAGTCGACTCACTGACCTTCTCCCTCTCCCCCTCCCTCGTCCCCTCCCACGTCCGCCATTGTTAAGCTTCAAAACAAGCTTCACCTTCTTCCTCCTCTTCCCATTCACATCAACTTCATCTTCCTCCTCCTCCTCCTCATCCTCCTCATCTTCCTCCTCCGAAACGACGTCGTCATCCAAGTAATCCTCATCATAATCAATAATATTATACCGGAAAGTCCTCCGCCGTAAACTTCGCCGGACTTCCCTCTCAGCCGCCGCAGATGACGGAGATACTCCGACATCACAATCATCATCATCAGACACGACCCGTGCAGCTAGATCTGCCTTCGATGGTCTCCCCTTCTTCCTCCTCCTCTTCTCGATCTGAACCATGGTTTTCTCTCTCCTCTACTTTCTCTCTCCTCTGATACTATACTATCTAGAGATAGAGAGTAAAGTAATTGATAATCTAACCTTTTTTTTTAATTTTTTCTAGAGAGAGAAATTAAAAGAGGGGGAATTTTTTTTTTCAGACTTTTTCTCTCTCTTGTTTTATTGCATTATTGAGTAGTGTGGGAAAATGGTGGGACCTACTAGAAAAAAATATTTGAATATTTTAATATATATATATATAATATATGAAGTGGGGTCCACTTTTTTTTATTTTTTGAAAATAATTAAAAAAAAGGAGGAGAGGGAGTGGCTGAGAATGACGGCGTTTGCCGTTTGCCGTTTGGTTTGGGTTTTTAATTTTTAGGGACTGACCGTTCTGCCCCGGGTAGGGTTACGTGTCAATTGTCTAGCTTAAGAGCCTTGCTGCCCGAAGATATTTTCACTTTTTTTTTTTCTTTTTGAGTTTTGAGTTTGGAGTAGCTAAGTAAAATAAAATAAAAAATAAAATAAAATAATAAAAAAGCACGTTAAATTCACGCAATTTCCTCTAATTTGGGGGAATTATACAAATTAAGAAATTTGTTGAATTGTTTTTGAATTTATAGGTGAAAAAAATGAATTGTTATGCTATGAGTATGGTTCATCCTACACCTTTCGAGTTTTCGACTAGAGTATGTCCGAGTGTTGTACATAGAAGTATTGTTGCTATTGATTTTTGCTTAAGTATTAATGATAGCTAATAGTTTTAACCGTTTTCATCAAAAAAATAAAACGAATGAAGATGGAATTATTTTTGTTGGTGGATGGATAATTTCCTATAGTGCGTAGTGTGTTGAATGAAAATTTTCCTTATTAAGAAAAAGCATCTGCAATGGTGCATTGTCTTTAATAGTAAATTTGTACCTAATTATCTTTCAAGTGGGGTTCGATTAATCTAGTCTAGTGTAATTAAGTACAGGCGAGAATGCAGATACGTTTAAATTTGACGAATTTAATATATTCAAATTTAAAGATGGACCATTAGTTATTAGATCATGAAATAAATAAGGCCAAAAATCATTTGTTTTCCATAACAACTTAAGTTAATTTGGCAATTGATTGAAAATCACTTGACTTGAAAAACTCAATTTGCACCAAAGAATGAGCAAACTTGCACCTAATGGAACAAGTCTTATCTTATCTCTAACATATCATACTTTATATAGCTAAAAATATGGATTAAAAGTCAACTTGATTCGAACAAATGGATTTAGAACAACATTTAGACTTTATTCAATTATAATATGTTATAACTATTGGTGTACCATATCATTATTGTAGGTGGTACATCTGCTACTATGTACGATTATAACTTTATAAGACATTGTCTAGGCTAGCTATAGTAAGTATGCGAAGATTAGCCAAGAGATTCAACTTTAAAAGCAATGTATGTACATTTAATTTGATGTTAATATTGCAAAATTTTGGAACCACAAAATGCATGATCCCTAATAATATCGTTAAAACATCAATAAAAAAACAATTTATGCGAAGTTCACAGTACATTGAAATCTAATATATACGGAGTAATACTTGCTATAACTTTCTAAAAAGACGATTCTTTTCATCTAAAAATGTGTTATTACCACAACTATTCATTTGAAAACATTAGTGAGGTAGGACCTAGCTAACGTGACTGAATAAGTAGTTTAAATGTCTCCAAAAAATTAAAAGAAATGTGCAAAGGTAAGTTCAATTGTTTATTCTACTCACATGCAATGTGGAATTAGCATATTTGATTTCATGCTCAGATGGAAAAGTAGAGACCAAATTTCCACCCCGTTATAATTATTTTTACCCGTTTCTTCAATAGAACATCCAAATTTAGAAAAATGAAAGCAAGTAATTAATTGCAATTTTTTTCAAGCTATGGTATAATTTCTAAAAGTATAATTGTAAATTTGTAACATAGCTTCGTGAAAATGTGGCTAAACAATGAATCTAGGTCCAAGACGAGTGTATTGAGTCACTATTGACTTCATGCGCATAATTTTGTAGTCCACTCAGTTATGAACCATCAACGCAGCACCAGGGCAGACAATGTGTTATGGACCCCTGAATTTCAGACACTAGCTACATATTTTATATTTTTATGGGATTATTAATTACTACTACGGAGTATTCATTATTATTAGTCACATAAAATTTAGGAAATCAAATTTAAACGTTCTTGATACTTGACTGTGCTTGATGTTAATGCTCATTAAATAAGCCTTTGATTGATTTGATTAGGTTGTCAAACATTTATTCTAGGTGATCAACTTATGGCTTCGCAATATAAATAATAAAAATAAACAAATAAAATAAATGGTTGAAATAAATAATATAAAAAGAAGTTAATCATGTTACGGAGTAGCATTTGTTATTCCTCAATTAATGTCAAGTACGAGTATTACTTTGTAGTATAATTAGAGTGGATATAATTGAGATCGATGAAGACTTCTTGAGTTTTTAGACTGAAAAACTAATAACCTACATCTAATTACTTGATTTGATTGTAGAAGTCAAACTAGATTTTATCCATACTACACGACTTGAAAACAAATAAATTTCCTTAGCATAACCAGTTGTATATATATATGATACAACCAAGATTATTTCTTTACTCATGTACATGATTGCATTAGCAAATAAGCAAAAAAAAAAACTAACATACAATAGAAACTTTTCAACCCAACTCAACCCGATGAGTATGGTGACTTTCACTTCGACATTAATAAGCTTCAATTCTAAGTATGTCCAATTACAGTTCAACCAACTTAAATTCAAATTGTACAATTTTCACCCTTAAATCGACCCAAAACAAAACGGATCCACATTACTCGTTAGTCATCTATACAATCCATTTATCCAATTACTTTATAAAACTTAAGAAGTAAACACACCCATGCTTTTGATCAAGAAATTCAAGAACTGATTTGCATTTTAGGCAAAATGTAAATTGATGAGTTTTTTACACGCGCCAAACAGCGAGTGGGATGAGTTTACGTGGTTTACAAAAGGTTGAATAAAAAAAAAGAGTAGAGATTATTTTAAAAATTGTGTTACAGCTCAGTGGTTTGACTTATTTGGCTCTTCAAGATTTGGCTTTCACACATCTTTTTTGCTCTTTTATTATTCTCCTCTATTTTTCTAGTACCTCCAACAAAGAGCTATCCAGGACCTTATAAAACAATGTTATTGGTATTAGACGAAAACAGAAAATTTAATTTTGGAGGGGACCAAAATTTTATTCTATATTATTAGGGATGACTAAGAAAATATTTTTACCTATTTTGTCAAAATTTTCAAATGTTTTTTTAGTATTTCGTAGTATTTGTTTTTAATGAATGTCATAGACAAATACTTGAGTGGTACCAAAAAAAAAAATTAAATTAATGGTGCCGATACTCCCACCCGCCCCTATGTTTCACTCATGCATTTATATTTCTACATTTTCAAGCTAAGGTTGATTATGTAATGGTAAGAGTTTAGTCTTATAACTTAAAGGTGATGAGATCAATTTTTTTTTTCTTTTTTTTTTTTTTTGACAACAAATCTCATTAAGGGCAATTGAGGATTACAGTATACTTCTATGTAACTACTCTCTTTATTTCAAAACTCATTTCTCACTTTAGTCAAAATAATTAGGTCTATTTTTTTTGTTTTTGTTTTATTATTATTTTTTTTTTTAGTAATTGTCAAGTTCTATGAGATCATCATTAAGGGTGTGTTTTCAAAATATTTTGGCTTAGTTCACACAAATGCTCTAATTAGTTTAAATATGATAGGATTACACAAAATAAGTTAAAGGCAATATATGATGATATTATGAGAAAACCCAAGTTTATATAGTTGACAAATAAAAACTTTATCAAGTGACAATTTCGTAAATAAATGAATAAAAATCTCAATCAGCATGATATCATCGTAATAAAATAAATAATTCCAAGCTCAATTTTAATGAACAATTGTAATTAATGATTTTTTTTATTTATTTACGAAATTGTGACTTCAACTACTAAAAAAAACTTGGATTTTCTCATGAATTATTCATGATATTATAAGTTCAAACATACTTACAATTTCATTTAAAATTATATATAAAAAAATAATAGATAATTAAATTTAGACAAGTCAAAATTAATTGTAATGCATATTATGACATAATTCATGAGAGAGAGAGAGAGAGAGAGAGAGAGAGAGAGAGAGAGAGAATTTGATCACCAATTATATATAACCTTTAATGAGAAAACTAGTTAGAAAACACTAATATTCATCTATAATCATGATTGAGAGGGATAAAATTCAAACCCTTGACATCTTAGTTAAAATGTTACTTATTAAGAGTCAATTGTCAAGGTCACATGGTTCTCGATCAACTAATCAAAAACTACGTATGTGATGATACTTTGTCTTGACTTGATCTTGAGATTGATAAACTACGTAAAACAGAGTTGATTGCTTAGGTCTGGCTCAGCAAATTAATGGGAGTTGATATTGAATTGGTTTAGGAAAAACACAAACTTTTTTAAAAAAAAATCGAGCATAAACTGATTACTATTGTTCATTCGTCATAAAGTTGCTCTAAAATGATCAAAAATTATCCTTAAAATGAATAAAAGTCTAAAAAGTACGAAGTTCACCAATACAAATAAAAGTGATCTATTCTATATTAATATAGAAATTAGTACTCTTCAAATGACTTAAAACCAAATCTTAGTGATTACTTTTATAAATCTTATCTTATAGGAGTTATAGCCTATTTACCATAACACAACTTGGTTTAAAGTAATATTATTGAAAATTCGGTGTATATAGAAATTTTTGTAAAAAAAGTAATTAAACATTCGTGAAAGCGTGGGACATCATTTCAGACTTTGAACATTATTTTTAGTGATTGTGTTTTTATGCTATTTTACCAACGTCAAACCATCCATCTCCGATATCAAAGATTTACATACTCCGTATTATCAATAGCTACATTGCCTACATAATTTTGCACAACTTGAACCTCATTTGCACTTGGAATCAAATTCTCTTACATCACGAACAAACAACAAAGCATTGATTTCTTTTTATGGACCCTAGTAAAGATAAGCTCCTACTATTCCACACAACAGTTAATGAACAAATTATTGTATTGTGTACTAATTAATTTAAAAATGTACCCGTTCCAA